ATCTATAGTTAGAATTAAGTAAAAAATAAAGTAAATATTCTAAAGCTAAAAAAAATAGCACCTGAATTATTTAAACAAATGTAAAAATAATGAGCTAAGGTAGTTTTTTAAAGCTAAAATAAAGGAGACAATATAAAAGGTAGGTTGGTAGGTAGGTAGTAGGTTGGTAGACAGCAACCACCCAGGGAAGTACTACCGTCCTGCCAGATGACTGTGAAACAAAACTGTAACTGTTTTGCATGATGGTAGGATTGCTGGTTTTCTTTTTCTGTCTCATAAACACGCTAAGATAACAGGGATATCTTGCTACTCCTACTTACACTTTGGTCACACTTCACAGACACACACATGCATATATATATATACATACATCTAGGTTTTTCTCCTTTTTCTAAATAGCTCTTGTTCTTTTTTATTTCTTCTATTGTCCATGGGGAAGTGGAAAAGAATCTTTCCTCCGTAAGCATGCGTGTCGTATGAGGCGACTAAAATGCCGGGAGCAATGGGCTAGTAACCCCTTCTCCTGTATACAATTACTAAAAAAGAGAAGAAGAAAAACTTTATAAAACTGGGTTGCTTAAATGTGCGTGGATGTAGTGCGGATGACAAGAAACAGATGATTGCTGATGTTATGAATGAAAAGAAGTTGGATGTCTGGCCCTAAGCGAAACAAGCTGAAGGGGGTAGGAGAGTTTCAGTGGGGGGAATAAATGGGATTAAATCTGGAGTATCTGAGAGAGTTAGAGCAAAGGAAGGGGTAGCAGTAATGTTAAATGATCAGTTATGGAAGGAGAAAAGAGAATATGAATGTGTAAATTCAAGAATTATGTGGATTAAAGTAAAGGTTGGATGCGAGAAGTGGGTCATAATAAGCGTGTATGCACCTGGAGAAGAGAGGAATGCAGAGGAGAGAGAGAGATTTTGGGAGAGTTAAGTGAATGTATAGGAGCCTTTGAACCAAGTGAGAGAGTAATTGTGGTAGGGGACTTGAATGCTAAAGTAGGAGAAACTTTTAGAGAGGGTGTGGTAGGTAAGTTTGGGGTGCCAGGTGTAAATGATAATGGGAGCCCTTTGATTGAACTTTGTATAGAAAGGGGTTTAGTTATAGGTAATACATATTTTAAGAAAAAGAGGATAAATAAGTATACACATATGATGTAGGGCGAAATGACAGTAGTTTGTTGGATTATGTATTGGTAGATAAAAGACTGTTGAGTAGACTTCAGGATGTACATGTTTATAGAGGGGCCACAGATATATCAGATCACTTTCTAGTTGTAGCTACACTGAGAGTAAAAGGTAGATGGGATACAAGGAGAATAGAAGCATCAGGGAAGAGAGAGGTGAAGGTTTATAAACTAAAAGAGGAGGCAGTTAGGTAAGATATAAACAGCTATTGGAGGATAGATGGGCTAATGAGAGCATAGGCAATGGGGTCGAAGAGGTATGGGGTAGGTTTAAAAATGTAGTGTTAGAGTGTTCAGCAGAAGTTTGTGGTTACAGGAAAGTGGGTGCAGGAGGGAAGAGGAGCGATTGGTGGAATGATGATGTAAAGAGAGTAGTAAGGGAAAAAGTTAGCATATGAGAAGTTTTTACAAAGTAGAAGTGATGCAAGGGGGGGAAGAGTATATGGAGAAAAAGAGAGAAGTTAAGAGAGTGGTAAAAGCAATGAAAAAAAGAGAGCAAATGAGAGAGTGGGTGAGATGTTATCAACAAATTTTGTTGAAAATAAAAAAAGTTTTGGAGGGGGAGATTAACAAGTTTAAAAAAGCCTAGAGAACAAATGGATTTGTCAGTTAAAAATAGGAGAGGAGAGTTATTAAATGGAGAGTTAGAGGTATTGGGAAGATGGAAGGAATATTTTGAGGAATTGTTAAATGTTGATGAAGATAGGGAAGCTGTGATTTCGTGTATAGGGCAAGGAGGAATAAAAATTTTGTAGGAGTGAGGAAGAGCCAGTTGTGAGTGTGGGGGAAGTTCGTGAGGCAGTAGGTAAATGAAAGGGGGGAAGGCAGCCGGATTGATGGGATAAAGATAGAAATGTTAAAAGCAGGTGGGGGATATAGTTTTGGAGTGGTTGGTGCAATTATTTAATAAATGTATGGAAGAGGGTAAGGTACCTAGGGATTGGCAGAGAGCAAAGCTAGTTCCTTTGTATAAAGGCCCAAGGGGATAAAAGAGAGTGCAAAAATTATAGGGGGATAAGTCTGTTGAGTGTACCTGGTAAAGTGTATGGTAGATTATAATTGAAAGAATTAAGAGTAAGACGGAGAATAGGATGCAGATGAAAAAAGGAGGCTTTTTGGAAAGGTAGGGGTGTGTGGACCAGGTGTTTACAGTGAAACATATAAGTGAACAGTATTTAGATAAGGCTAGAGGTCTTGTGGCATTTATGGATTTGGGAAAAAGGCGTATGACAGGGTGGATAGGGGGGCATGTGGCAGGGTGTTGCAAGTGTATGGTGTAGGAGGTAGGTTACTGAAAGCAGTGAAGAGTTTTACGAGGATAGTTGAGGGCTAAGTTAGAGTATGTGGAAAGAGGGAAATTTTTTCCAGTAAAAATTTGGCCTTAGACAAGGATGTGTGATGTCACCGTGGTTGTTTAATATATTTATAGATGGGGTTGTAAGAGAAGTAAATGCGAGGGTCTTGGCAAGAGGCGTGGAGTTAAAAGATAAAGAATCACACACAAATGGGAGTTGTCACAGCTGCTCTTTGCTGATGACACTGTGCTCTTGGAGATTCTGAAGAGAAGTTGCAGAGATTGGTGGATGAATTTGGTAGGGTGTGCAAAAGAAGAAAATTAAAGGTGAATACAGGAAAGAGTAAGGTTATGAGGATAACAAAAAGATTAGGTGATGAAAGATTGAATATCAGATTGGGAGGGAGAGAGTATGGAGGAGGTGAACGTATTCAGATATTTGGGAGTGGACGTGTCAGCGGATGGGTCTATGAAAGATGAGGTGAATCATAGAATTGATGAGGGAAAAAGAGTGAGTGGTGCACTTAGGAGTCTGTGGAGACAAAGAACTTTGTCCTTGAGGCAAAGAGGGGAATGTATGAGAGTATAGTTTTACCAACGCTCTTATATGGGTGTGAAGCGTGGGTGTTTGAATGTTGCAGCGAGGAGAAGGCTGGAGGCAGTGGAGATGTCATGTCTGAGGGCAATGGTGTGGTGTGAATATAATGCAGAGAATTCGTAGTTTTGGAAGTTGGATGGATGTGCGGGATTACCAAAACTGTTGTCCAGAGGGCTGAGGAAGGGTTGTTGAGGTGGTTCGGACATGTAGAGAGAATGGAGCGAAACAGAATGACTTCAAGAGTGTATCAGTCTGTAGTGGAAGGAAGGCGGGGTAGGGGTCGGCCTAGGAGGGGTTGGAGGGAGGGGGTAAAGGAGGTTTGTGTGCGAGGGCTTGGACTTCCAGCAGGCTGCGTGAGCGTGTTTGATAGGAGTGAATGGAGACAAATGGTTTTTAATACTTGACGTGCTGTTGGAAAGTGTGAGCAAAGTAACATTTATGAAGGGATTCAGGGAAAACCTGGCAGGCCGGACTTGAGTCCTGGAGATGGGAAGTACAGTGCCTGCACTCTGAAGGAGGGGTGTTAATGTTGCAGTTTAAAAACTGTAGTGTAAAGCACCCTTCTGGCAAGACAGTGATGGAGTGAATGATGGTGAAAGTTTTTCTTTTTCGGGCAACCCTGCCTTGGTGGGAATCGGCCGGTGTGATAATAAAAAAAATAATAAAAAAATATAAAAGGGACTAAAATAATTTGTGGTGAACAAATAAAGTGATGATCAAATAATGGAGCTTGGGAATATGATAGTAGGTAGTACTTTAAAGGTAATTCTTTAAAGTTAGAATTATAATATAAAATTATAATATAAAAGGGACTAATATAAGTTGTGGTGAACAATAAAGTGGTAATCAAATAAATGAGCTTTGGAGTATAATGGCAAAATAGTGAACTTATTAACTTTAGCACCTGTGAATAGCACCTTGATTATTTTAACAATTGTGATTATATGAGCTAAGGTAGTTATATAAAGCTAAAATAAAGGAAAAAAAAAAATATATAAGGGACTACAATTAAGTAATGGTAAACAAGTTAAATGGACAGATAGTCACTATGAAATAATATTGGTTTAGGAGTAAGATCTGATTTGTAATATTAAATAAGTTGAGCAGTTTATTGCACAATAAAAAGTAAAAAAAATTAGGTAGTTGGTACTAGCTAGCAAAAGATAGTTTTGGTACTTGCAAAAAAGTAATTGGAATATACACTAATTGCACACACAATAAAAAGTGACTAAAAAAAACAAGTAGTGGTAAACAAAATTAAATGGACAGGTAAGAACAATGAATAATATTAATTTGGAGTAAGATTTGACTTGTAACATAAAATTATGAGCAATTAATAGCAGTAAGAAAGAATTAAAAAAATATTGGAGGTAGTTAGCATTAGCTTGTGATGAAAAAAATAATAAAAATAATAATGCACAATATAATAGTAAGGTACACTATATGCACCACACGTATATATGTATTAAGGGCACTTATCTAATCTGTTACAGAAATGACAGCTTTTCTAAGGAAGGTAGAGAAATCGTGTTTGTTTGAGATAGTATATTGTTGTCCTGTTGATGTTTTCCTTACTAGTATTTTCCCATCTCGCGTGAAACACTGATGCATTTTGTTTTCCTGTTCAAGTTTTCTCAGCCTGAACAGAAGGTTTTGACGTGTTAGATCGTAACAGATGATGGTACTGGTAAGTGTTTTTGGTGGTGGTAACTCCTATATATAACTGTACTGCCTGCCCATTGTTTTAACAGTAAAATCTACAATTTTGGTATTTGCCACCTTTTAAGATCAACAATATATGTAATTATATTTTCATTAGTAGTTTTAGTAATATTTTGAATAGCATTTTATAGAATATGCTCCTACTTGAAGAAGTGACAATCATGTACAGTACTATCTCACTAAAAGTTACTGTACTTACGAGGTGCAACACGAAAAACTTGACTTCGGAACCTTCTGAACATGTTAGGGATTCCATAAGTAATAGCTCCAGCAAAGGCTCTCTGCTCAAAAGGGGAAAGGGAGTACTTGATGATACCCCTCAAATGTGCCAATTCACCAAAGCCCTTCCCCATTGCTGAAAAGAAATAAAATTTAAGTAGTTTCTTCCTGAATAAATGACAGATTTACAGGTCACAGTTCAAGCTTTTTATATACTATCAGATCTTGTAACTAAATGGGAAAATGTGGACCACAATAAAAGAAAATGCTCATAACATGCTATTGTAAAGGTACTGCAATTGGGAAGAATTATGAAACAAGACAAGCAATGAAGAGGGAAAAGAGAAATAAATTCAGCAGGGATGAATAACAGCAATACACTCACTGACCTTTTACACAATAAAATAACGAAAACAAAAGACCCATAAAGCAATTTCCATTTCCGGGCAGTTTCTATCAAGTTAATAAATAATGCATAAACCAGACTATTACTAGATTCATCAATTACATATTGCATATAATGTTATGAAAAATGTGCAGTACAGGTTTCCACTCATCTTGTACAGTTTCACCGTATGTGGATCTGCCCTCATGCAGTAACTCCCACTTCCACTAGTAACTCACTTTATGCAATATAAAACTGCTTATATACAAACACACACTTTGAAACACCACTTGATATTTTAACCATATTTTAACACAAAAGCCATATCCCCATAATACTAGAAACTCAAAATTTTAAAGGGGCAGACCAGTAAGAGAGCAGAAGGCTTCAATCAGATGGCCAAAAGCTCCAATGTCGGGTCATCATATGACTAAGACCTGCATCAGGAAACACTTGTCCTGTGTCCTGACAAACCTTACCTACCTACCTGCCATATCCCAAGGATGTAGGGTGACCCCCTCCCCAAAACATGGACACACATTTACCATCACTCATTCAATGTCTTGTGCAAAACAGACATTATCATAGTTCAGATGGCCTTTCAAACTGCAACATCCTCACCCCTCCTCCAGAATGCAGGCACTATGCTTCCCACCTTCAGGACTCAAGTCTGGTTAACTGGATTCCCTGAATCCCTTCATAAATGTTGCCTTACTCATACCCAAACAGTACATCTAGTTACATTCACTCCTATTTAATGAGCTCAACACAACCATGCCGTACGTTACAGCCCCCAACACTTTCAAGGGGGCACTGTGAGGTTACTGTGTAAATTCTCCAATGGAAATATAAAGGACCCCAATGGAAATAAGTCACTTTGTCTGACTTTTTTGGGTTATCCTAGGTTCTCTACACATATGCTGCAATGTATGATAATTCTATGTAACTGTATTTGTGTATACCTGAATAAACTTACTTACTTACTTACTCTGTCTGACTTTTTTGGGTTATCCCAGGTTCTCTACACATATGCTGCTATGTATGATAATTCTATGTAACTGTATTTGTGTATACCTGAATAAACTTACTTACTTACTATGGATTGTGAAATACACTTATATTTTGGGGCCTTTGGTAAATTCTATTCTTTTGGCAAACAAACCTAATGCAATGTAACCTGATTGAGGAGTAATTCTAGTGACAAAAGGTTAGGTTAAGATGGATTACATAAAATTAGGCTTGGCTACCAAAATACTTATTTTATCTCCTCTGTGCAAAATACAACAAGCTCCACTGCACAAAACACTTAATATGGGAGAATTTACATAATCAAAAACTGAGCAGCTATGGGGGATTGCTAAACCTGTGGGGGTTATACAGCACCGGGGAAAGGGGAAACAAATCAAATTCAACCCAAGATGGTGGCCTGCTCTAATTATTTGGATCAAGAGTCCTTCACCAGCATCAAGCCATGAAGGGTACTACCCCCTGACACCTATCAGCATATAGCTACTTAACAGTATAGTATTGATATGTACCTATCACTATAAAGATACCCAGGAGTTAGATTATTGCTGTGGGTAGGACCTGGGGAAAGATTGGCAAGGGTCACACAGTTTCTAACACACACTTATAATCGGGGTCAGTTTGAAAGTTGTAGGGGTGATACAGCATCTGGGAACAACAGAAGGGAATCAGGTCAATTCAATGAAGGGGAAGATAAGTTCACTTCCCTGGAAGAAGCCCCTCACCAACATCAAGGATCACCCCCTGGAGGGGTTCCTTGAAGGGAGTCCCTCACCAACATCAAGGATCACCCCCTGGAGGGGTTCCTTGAAGGGAGTCCCTCACCAACATCAAGGATCCCCCCTGGAGGGGTTCCTTGAAGGGAGTCCCTCACCAGCATCAAGGATCACCCCCTGGAGGGGTTCCTTGAAGGGAGTCCCTCACCAACATCAAGGATCACCCCCTGGAGGGGTTCCTTGAATGGAGTCCCTCACCAGCATCAAGGATCACCCCCTGGAGGGGTTCCTTGAAGGGAGTCCCTCACCAACATCAAGGATCACCCCCTGGAGGGGTTCCTTGAAGGGAGTCCCTCACCAACATCAAGGATCACCCCCTGGAGGGGTTCCTTGAAGGGAGTCCCTCACCAGCATCAAGGATCACCCCCTGGAGGGGTTCCTTGAAGGGAGTCCCTCACCAACATCAAGGATCACCCCTTGGAGGGGTTCCTTGAAGGGAGTCCCTCACCAACATCAAGGATCACCCCCTGGAGGGGTTCCTTGAAAGGAGTCCCTCACCAACATCAAGGATCACCCCCTGGAGGGGTTCCTTAAAGGGGAGCCCTCACCAGCATAAAGGATCACCCCCTGGGGGGGTTTCCTTGAAGGGAGTCCCTCACCAGCATCAAGGATCACCCCCTGGGGGGGTTTTCCTTGAAGGGAGTCCCTCACCAGCATCAAGGATCACCCCCTGGAGGGGTTCCTTGAAGGGAGTCCCTCACCAACATCAAGGATCACCCCCTGGAGGGGTTCCTTGAAGGGAGTCCCTCACCAGCATCAAGGATCACCCCCTGGAGGGGTTCCTTGAAGGAAGCCTCTCACCAACATCAATTCCTCCTCCCTGGAGGAAGCCCTCACCACCATTAAGACACCTCCCTCAATACACTTTTCCAAATATCACTGTACACAACCATCATACATAATCTTATAGCGCCTCCCTAGGGAATAGGTGTTCATGTTCGATCCAAAGAAGGGGGACGAGTGCTCAAATTTCTGGCATAATTATTATTATTATTATAATCAAGGGGGAAGCGCTAAACCCGGAGGATTATACAGCGCCTGGGGTGGGGGATGTGGGAAGGCATAAAGAGGCCTTCACCGGCATCAAAAACAGCCATCATGGATGTAGTAACACCCACATACATTAATATATTTCCCCGTCAAAGTCCCACCAATAAAATAACATGAAGCTTGAAAACTATCCCATTAGGAAATAACTGCTTAAATCAGCAGCTGCAGCAATAAAACAATAATATTAATGTTGCTCACCGTCGTCCTGTGCTCAGCAGAAAACTCTGGAAGAAGATGAGACAGACAGACCAGCTAGAGGTGGTGCAGGTGGCACACCAGCACACAGATGGCGCTCACTCATACACACAAACTGATACCCTCCTTTTTATTCTATAATAATAATCTTTATTTCTGCCAATATATGATACAACGAATATAGATCTAGCTGAAATCAGTGACATACTACATAGAAAGCTCCTGGTTATGCAGAACATTTCGGGGAAATTAGGTTAATTTTGTCCCCAGGATGCCACCCACACCAGTCGACTAACACCCAGATACTTGTTTTACTGTAAGGTGAACATGGACGGCAGGTGTCTTAAGTTCATTTAGGAACAGGTATACATAAGTACAATTAACATACGTAGCGTAAATTACCAAGGATAATCCAAAAAAGTCAAAGTGACTTATTTCCATTGGGGTCCTTTTAAGTTCATTTAGGTACAGGTACACATAAGTTCAATTATCATTTTTATTTATTTATTCATATCTTTGCAAATAGTACATTGAGATTATGTATTTACAGTAATGGGTTGCAATGCAAAGAGAGCCTATTATTATGCCTAGGCATTATAGGCCGACTTAACATTATTGACTTACTGACTACTTAACAGTAAAGAATTATATCATAGTTGCACAGTAGATCTATTAATTATAAGTGAATTTAATTTATATAAAACAAAAGATACATTCATATTTTCAAAAATGCTTTTTGTGAAACAATGACTCAGTTATATTCCTGTCAACAATGGACAATAGGTTCAAAGGTAATTATTGAAATTATGATGTGGAAATACTGAGTATTGAGCATTTAGTCTAGGGTGATTAAGTGGCTTTTGAGAAGTCTTAAATTGATTTTCAGACCGGGAGAGATACAGTAAAGAAACACTGGTAAATAGGCTACACAATTGTGACTGGACAGAGATAACAAGTTGCACGGACGTAAACGATGCCTGGGAAAAATTCAAAACAATGTTCACTACCATCCTTGATAATATTGCACCAGTTAAAGAGGTTAGGATTAAACGAAGAACTGAACCCTGGATGAATACTGAGATATTAGATAATATGAAATTCAGAGACCAGCTGCTAAAAAGATTTAAAGCACACAGACAGGATATTGCAGCACTAAATGAATTCCAAAGGGTGAGGAACAGAGTACAGAGACTTATAAAAGGAGCAAAGGCAAAGCACTACTGCTCAAAAATTGAAGAGTATAAGCATAACCCCAAAAGCTCTGGCAACAACTAAAACAGTTTGGGGGATAGCCATAAGCCAGTAGATAGGTCTAACATAGTACTCACTATCGATAATGAGGTATGCCACGAAACATCTAAGGTGGCAAATTGCTTTAATTCCTACTACACATCTGTATGCATCAACACTAGTAAGTAAACTACCACCACAAATACCTTTAAAAAACAGA